TACCATCACCTGTTTAGGCGCAGCACCCAAAGCAGCAGCACGGCGATGTCCTGACCGAGTATTGAGGTGGCTTCGGCTTCCTCCGGCCACGGTCCGGCCTCTCTCGTTCTTCACAGATTTCAAATCACGTGTGCCCCTACCACGGCACTTGGCCTGAAATGCGCTCCAGTCCACGCGTGTCGACTCGGCTCGCCGATGGCTTCACCAGCATCCCAAGGTTGCCTGTGGTTGGGCCACGTCGTGGTATGACACATTGGCCTATGAACTCCTCCGCGGAGAATTTGACCTCAGCAGTTCTCCATCGGCATCTCCAGAAACTCCAGAATTGGACGCACTGCAAGCACATGTAGACGTCGGGAGAATCAAAGTTTCGCCGACCACACGATAGATTGAGCGTGCTCGCAAGTCTCAACTGCATGGCAAGGCAATGGAGATCTGGCTACCTGACTGGTCGCCAGCGTGGCAGGGTCAAAAGGAGCAATCTAGAAATACCTTTAGACATAAATGTGCCAACACGACGCTCTTTCCTGACGACCGTGATGCGTCCAAGGTTTGTTCCGTGGGTGTGCAATTCTTGTGTGCAAACTTATTGCATGCCAGCGCCGTGGACCAAATTGGCAGACCTGGTCTAATTTCTCGGCGTCGCAGGTGCTCCCACTCACACTCGGCAGAGGTGGCTTCAAGGAAACCCTCGAGGCAGCGGGTGCCACTTGCGCCGCCAGCCCTGCTTGCAATCGTGCTGTCAAAGAGCTACGCGGATGAGGGCGAGAAAAAATTAGAAGCAGACACGCGTGTCTTCGCCGGTGTCGTCCATGCCATTTCCACCAGATTGGAGGGCGGTTGCGAAAGGGGTTCGTGCTGTTGTCCAATTTTGGACATGTGCGCGTGAAGTCTTTTGTGTCAAGGGCGAGGGTCATGAGTGCAATGCGTCCTGGTGCTGTTTTAGGTGTGGGTGCTCCATGTCGTCTGTTACCATCGTGTGCGCAGGTGTGGACCCGGTCTTCAAGGATTGCAAGGCCTCCCGCGCGTGACCCCCGCGTGGGCCCGTTTCTTCAGAAGGTGCCAGCGCATCTCCCAATCTCATGATATCTACACCCAGAGGGTTGGGACGTCTCGCTACTGTGTGCCCTTCAGAGGGGCTTGGTCGCGTAGCTGGCTCTCCTCGTCGATGGGGCTCATCGCCCTCGCCTTGCAAGCGACTACGGTGCAATGTCTAGCCAAATTCGGTTCATTGGCCGTCGACTGGATCGATCAGACCGGTTGGGGCTGTCGTGTCCGCTGCCGCGGTGCCCCTGCCGTTCTTCTTTGGCGACGCGGGAGAGCTGCTCCTCTCCCTCGAAGGCCGAAGCGTGGCTCCGGGTTTTTTTCTTCTTGCGGGAGCATCGCGGGACGGTTTATTCTGCAGTCGGTCTTCTGGCTTCGGTGCGATGATGGCCGTGCTGGCTTCTCGAAGCTATGCTGTGCTAGCTGTACTTCTCCATTCAGGCTTGGGTTCGTGCCTTCTGGGCCGGTATCAGTTGTGCTCGAGAGCGATGGGTCTCCTGGACCCTTGGCACGTGCGCGGCTCGGCCTAAAGGTGCACGTGTTCGCAAGAAAAGTCGATGGTACGATGCAAGATCCGAATCGCGCTTGGAATGTCGGCCTGGGCCCGAGGCGGAAGAGCTACCTGCATCCCTGGTTTAAAGGGTCGCACGCGCCTTTTTCGAGGCTGAGCAAGCTCTCTGTGCTTCTCGCTGGACTTACCCACGGCCTGCAGGTTGTAGTGATTATGAAGTTCTGGTTGTAATTGAAGAGAGCAGCATCCTATTTCCTATGTTCGTTCACGCGTCCATGCTGTTTCCCAGGATCCTGATGTCGTTCAAGCACGAAGGTCTGTGAGGTACACCGAGAGAGGCAGGCCTCGCGATGGAGGTGGCCACCAGTTGCAGCCTCGCGGTTCGAACTACTCGTGGCCGCCCACTCGGCAGCCGAAGCAGCAGCAGCAAGATCGTGTTGGGAGAAAGCGGTCCAAGAAGCATCGCTCAAGCCGTTCGAGCAGCTCGGACACCGAGGAACAAGCGAAGACTTGCGAGAAACCTCGCATCAACACACGGCAAGCGCTAGAATAATTCCTGGAGTCGGAAGATGAAGCCGCCCGCCTCAAGGAGTACGAAAAAGGCAGGGCAAAATCATTGCCGACGCCATCGCCCCACATCTCTCTCAAGACATCTCCGCCCACGCACTAACTACGGAAATCTCAAACAAAGAGCCCGCGCAGAGGCCAGCAGCCGCAGCGTCGCCCGCGGCCGTGGTGGCGCAGCGGGCGTTCCCGCCAGCGCCATGTGGGTTTGCGGCGCCGACCGCTATGCCCCCCGCCCGCAGCCCGCGGTCACCGACGCCCTCACGGCCCCACAGCGCGCCTACGCGATGCCGCAGCGTGGCCGCGTCTTCAAGCTCGAGGATGCCACGCTCGCGGAGCTCAAGGACAAGATCTGTGAGAAGTGGCCGAACGTCAAAGTTCCTACGGGAGTCCATTGCATCATCAGGAAAGTGGGACATGGCGTGGCACCCCAGCGGCGGCCTAATAACAAGCCGATCGACATGCTCTTTGACGTCGTCAAAAGGATGGTTTGAGGTGTCTTGTACTCGTTTGCGAGTATACCGCTTCGTCATGCTCCTGATCAAAGTGTCATGTTTCGTTGTGGCTTTCGACATAGCGTTGTATAGTGGGCATCGCTATGGGCAGGCGGAGGCAAAATTGGAGCTCTACTTTATGGCGAGGACTTCCGTGCTGAAGAATGTCCGGACATTGTTGGTTTTCCAATTCACTGGAGGTTTTCCAATTCACTGGAGGGAAAGTGTTCCTTAAGACCATTGGGTTGTCCCACGCGTCTTGGCTGGAAGGGTCAGGAGACCGCATTTACCAGGCCGTCAGATATGGACCATAAGACTGCATGGCAATCGGACCCTTTTTTCTCCTGATGAGTGCGGCCCTCTCTCTCTTGCAGCTTAAGGTCATCATATCTACGTGAAGAACGCATTGAACCAAACATTCAAATAATGTACGTGAACTTTATCTTCCAAACTCCGATGTCCAGAGCGAAGGAGATCAAATTGCGATAACCGGCTAAGCAAGGTATTATAATCAAACAGTCGAATATACCGAGGGCGAGGAAAGGACGGATGCGGACCTCTCACTCTGTAGTTCCCTTTGGCACTCAGAGCTTCCGAGGGCACAGACACTCAACCATCACGGCCTCGGCCTCGCGTAAGCCAGACAACTGGCTGTACACTGGTACTGCTGGATACATTGAGAAAAGCGGCATGAAACCATCATCATCATCATCATCATCAGCAGCATCGACATCATCAGCAGCAGCAGCAGCAACATCATCATCATCATCATCATCATCATCATCATCATCATCATCATCATCATCATCATCATCGTCATCATCATCATCATCATCAGCATCATCATCAGCCTCAACACCAGAATCATCATCATCATCAGAATCATAATCGTCGTCGTCGTTATCATTATCATCATAATCATCATCGTCATCAGCATCATCATCATCAGTATCATCATCATCCCCACCACCATCACCATTACCATCACCGCTAGCGTTACGCAACATCGTCATCAGCATCATCATCAGCAGCAGTAACAACATCATCGTCATGAATCGCACCATCGTCATTGGCATCGCCGTCTATATCATCGTCCTGATGATCGGCATCGTCGGCATAACCATCGCAATCAGCATCATGAACATCGCCATCATAATCAGAATCCGTTTCATCATCACCATCATCAGCATCATCATCAGCATCATCATCATCATCGTAATTAGCATCAGTATACTCATACCCATACTCATCATACAAATCAGCATCATTATGCATCATCGCCCCCACCGTCACCACAGCAGTCACCATCCTGATCATCCTCCTCATCCTCATCCTCATCACCAGTATCATCATCAGCATCATCATACACTTCATCATCCTCCTCACCGTTGTCATCCGTGCGACCATCGGCAGCATCGCAATCAGCATCAGCAGCATCACCATCAGAATCAGCATCATCGTCGTCATCACACTCATCTCTAAGCATCATCACCCGCATCGTCATGATCATCACCATCATCATATCCATCATCATCAGCAGCATCAGCATGATGATCAGCATAATCAGCAGCATCATCGTCACCACGATCAGCATCATCATCGTCATCGTCGTCATCATCAGTATGAGCATCATCATCATCATCATCGTGATGATCATCAAAATCATTGTCAGCAGTACCATCATCATCATCATCATCATCATCATCATCATCATCATCATCATCATCATCATCAGCATCATCATCATCATCATCATCATCATCATCAGCTTCAGCATCATCATCACCATCACCATCGCGAGCACCATCCTGATCATCACCCGCATCCTCATCATCACCATACGCCTCATCCAGCATGATCCTTGTCATCAGTGTGATCAGTAGCATCATCGTCAGCAGCATCACAGTTACCATCAGCAGCATCATCAGCAACATGTTCATCAGTATCATCATCATCACCAGCATCATCATCAATCGACATCATCATCATCATCAGCAGCATCATCATCATCATCATCAACATCATCATCAGCAGCATCATCAACATCAGCTTCACCACTGTCATCATCGCCATCACCATCATCATCCTCACCACCACCACCACCATCTTCATCAGCAGCATCATTATCAACAGCATCATCGTCATAATCATCATGGCATCATCATCAGCATCCTCTTCATCAGCATCATCACCATCATCATAATCACCATCATCATCGTGTCGTCGTCGTCAGCATCAATATCATCATCACCTGCACCATCGCCATCGTCATTGCCATCACCGCCGCCAGACAGCCGTCACCACCGACATCGTTCGTCACCATCGCCCTCGCCGCCGACATCGTCGACGCCGACAGCCTCACCACCCTCGCGGGCGCGCGGGCTCGCCCGATTGCCGCGGAGTGCAGGGGCGGCAGGCGGAACACGTGCGTGGTGCCTCACGCGACGGGAGCGGCGGCCAACTGTGATGGGCCGATGTTCCACCACCACCAGCATAGGTAGGACGGGGAGAAGGGAAGATGAGGAGGTCTTCCTCCTCCTTCCCCTCCTCCTCCTCCCTCCCCTCCTCCTCCGCCTCCTCCTCCGTTTTCCGACATATGGTAGTGGTGGTGGGAAATCGGCCCATCACACCGCCTGGCCAGCCCGACCCGAGCAAGCGCGCGCCATGCCTCGCACGACCTCTGGGCATCCGCGTCGACATTGCGTCGAACGCGCCGAGACCTGGGCGGCAAGGGGCGTCACCCGGACTGCCCCGTCATTCGACAATCCCACGGAGACGAGGGAGTTGCCTTCCGCTCTCGCAACTAAAACTGCTGCACGTGCTTCAGTTTCGCGTCCGTCGAAGGCGTCCTTCGCGAGCGCTGCATGTTGATGGCCAACCGCCTTCCGTCCGTGTGCACGCTGGAAGCTCGTGAGTCCGATGCGCGCGGAGCCAAGGCGAAAATGACATCTTGAGAAGTACCCGCCCTCCATCCGTGCAGCGGTTGGACAACTCTGCCAGAGCAACCAATGCTGCAAAGCTCGGTGCTTCAAAGGCACATGCTCGATGGCGTGGGCCGCGGGGGTACTCGCGCACCGTGTGGCGCAACTGATGGAACGTGCCATTGCTCGGACGTCCATTCCCCATGACTGCTAGGTCTCGTGCGCGTTTGCCCTAGAGGTGGTCCGAGATGCCACAAGGCGATAAAGAGATTGTCTGACGCTGGCCTCGGCAGGCAGAAAATGCACACTTCCGAGCGGTGCAGAGGGAATGACAAACAGGCAGGCGAGGTGGCAATTCGGTAGTCCGCGGGGTGTCCTGTGCAGCCCGTGACGCGCAGCTGCAACCTGCGGGATGCAGAAAAACTTGGGATATCGCGACTTCGCAACCTACGGGGGGGGGTGCCTGGCGCAGCTTCTGGCCTTAACCTGTAATGCCGTCTATCGAAAGTAGAAAATCGTGATTCGGCAGCCCGTGGGGTGCGAGCAGCAGCATACGTCGCAGTCTTCGGCGCAGCCTGTCCTGTAGACGGATCGGGGACGCTGCGAGTTGGAATTGGTGGCCCGCGCGGGGGGCTTGGCGCAGCGTGTGACGCAAGGAGTGTAGACGACTTCGAAGTCGCGATGTACATGCCCGAAGCAAAATGTCCGACGAACCTAATGGCGTTCAACATATACCGCAACCAACGGCGCAACTCATGGCATGTTAATTAAACGAGGAAGACGTGACTTGGTAACCAGCGGGGTGGAACCACCTGCGGCGCAACCTATGACATGCAAGCAGACAGGACACGTCGCGTGTGTTAGCCCGCGGGGTGTATCGCGCAATTTGTGGCACGCAACATGTGGCGCAACCATGGCATGTGGACATCTCAGGATGTGTATTGGTTTGGTGGCCTTTTGTGGGATCTGGCGTAACCATGGCTCTGTACCTGGGTGTAAACCGTCAGGGGGAATCGCGATTTGGCAACCCGCGAGGTGTCTGGCGCGGGAGAATGGCGCTGAACCTATCGCCAATCGCGTTTCGGCGCAACCTATGACATGCAAACAAGCGGTGAAAATCGGGATGCTTGTAGCGTGGGGTGCCCGGAGCAACCCAGGGAACGTAGACTGACATGGGATGGCGCGATGAGCTGGCCCGTGGGGCGTGCGTGGCGAAACCCACGGCCTGGTCTATGACGCTCTCAGTGGACATGACTACTCGCGCAACCTCACTGGCGAAGTCCGTGGAACGTAGACCAACCGGGGAAGTTGTCCGTTTATTGAACAGCGAAATTTCAAAATGCGCACCACTTGCACGGATGGACGGGGTGACTTTCAAGATGGCGTTCACGCTTGCACCGTTGCTCTTCCGCTACGGTCCCACATGTTGGCAATCCTATTTACATGGCTGGAGGGCGGTCCGGTTTCAAAAGAGGGCTCTCGCCTGAATGGCAGCCCCAGATGGTGCTCGTCTCGGACATGGATGTCCCCGCGGTGGAGAATAATCCTTGAGGGGAACGTGGGACGAATGGGCAGATCCCGCAGGATCGTTGATGCACAGTGGGTTTACTCTGGCTTTCCACCTGCTCCTCCTGGTTCGTTCGCGTGCGCCTTGGCGACAGGGCCTGGGCCCCACACAACTAGAGCAGAGAGCAGAGATCGGTCAACAAAAGAACAAGAGAGCGACGCGACGATCACGGCAGCGGCCCGCCCTCCACGCCCTCCTCGACCAGACCTGGCGCCACGAAGGGTCTCAGACCTCGCCTTCGAGCTGGGTGGGCGTCGCAAACCTTGGATCGGACCCGCGCCGCTTTCGCCACCACCCGCCCCCGTTCAACCACACAGCGAACCAGGAGACAGCGACTGTGCGCGCTGGCGACACAACGACGCGAAGCTCGGGAGCACGTCGGCCACGCCAACAACGGCATGCGCGGAAAGAACTGGGGAAACGGAGCGAGGTAGGGGACGGCAAGAGAGCGGATCTCACCTCCACGCACCAAGCTGCCAGTTCGAAAGGGCTGGCAGAGATAATGCCACTTCCTGTTCAGGCTAGATGTGGCTGGCCCACGCGCGACGCTGCCTCACGCACGCGCGCCATGCGCGCCTGCTGCGGGGGCCCCCAAGCACACTGCTCCGAAAGCCGAACCGAGTCCATTCCATGCATGACTAGGCATGCAGGCAGAGCGGTTTGATATGATTTTTCAGCACGAACACCGAGAGAACCCCCTGCTGGCGCGAACTTGATGTCGAGCCCTCTGGCGTATTGGTAACGCACTAGTTCCTCGAATGATTGCCATGCCACTGCGTTTCACTCGGTATTGTGTAGTTGGTTGTGTGCAGCTGGCGGCGTATGTGGTTTGAAAATACCCCTCGGGAGGCGGCCATCCTCAACACGCGGCAGAGCCTGTCAATGCTATGGTGCACTGGAGGTGCACTTCTGATCTCTCCCAGCGCATGGGTCAGAGGCGTTCCGTCCAGCCGCAGTGCAAGTGGATGTTTGAAACCGCTTTTATGATGCGTATACGTCGGTGGCCCCATTCCCATTCCCGGTCCCTCCCTCTCCCCCATTCCTTCCCTGCGGCCCCAGCCTTGGCGCCGTGGCAGGGGGAGCGGGCCCCCGAGACGCCCGTCGGGGCGACGGGCGGCAGGGGGCCCCCACCAGCGCGGAGCAGGCGCTCTGCCGCGGCCACACGGGGCCGCGGGCCAAGATCGGCCTGGCGTGAGACCCGGGCAGCAAGTGCACGGGTTGGCTGCGACGGCCAAGCGGCCTGGCGCATGGTTCTCCTTCCCCGCGAAAGTTGTTCGCTCCTCCTCCTCCTCCTCCTCCTCCTCCTCCTCCTCCTCCTCCTCCTCCTCCTCCTCTTCGCCTCCTCCTCCTGCTCCCTCTATCCCCTCCCCCCTCCTCGTCCTCCAGCCTCCCACTCATCATGTTCATCCTCGTTCACCTCCTCCCTCCCTCCCTCCCTCTCCACTTCCTCTCCCCAACGACTCCTTTTCGTCCCCTCATCATCCCGCACCCCTCATCATCACCCCTTTACCCTTCATTGTCCCGTTCCCCCTCCGGACCCACTCATCTCCCTCCTGTCCCTCCTCCTCCTCTTCCTCCTCCTCCTCCTCCTCCTCCACCAGCTTCGCCTTCTTGGACTGGGTAAACCCCACCAGCCATCTGGGCGTAGGTGGTCTAGGGAGGTTCCTCTTCCAACACCCTCCTTCCCCTTCGGGGAGGTGTTTACCCCTCCCCCTACCCCCTCCCCTGGACATGGACGGGGGGGGGGTCACTGATAGCTGAAGCGTTCAAGATGGCCCAAGACGTCTCCAAGAGCGCCTCGGAGAGCCCAAGACGAGCTCCAAGATGGCTCGAAATAGCCTAAGATGCCTGAAGATAGCTCCCAAGATGCTCCAAGAGGCCAGCAGACCGCTCCAAGACGGCTCCAAGAGGCTTCCGAGACCGTCAAGGAGGCCTCCAAGAAGCCAAAATCCTTCAACCTACGGAACATCAATGATTGTTGCATCGTCGCCCGTTCGCTTTCGATGGCCGTCCGGGGCCTCAAGATGGCTCCAATATGGCCCAAGAGGGCCACAAAAGAGGCCCAAGAGAGCCCCAAGACGGCCCAAAGAGCGCCCAAGAGCGCTCCAAGAGCGCCCCAAGAGCGCCCCAAGAGACCATGTGTGGGGCACCCGAGGGGCAGCCCTAATTGGGGAACTCCTCTTGTTTGATCGATGTCCCCCAAGATGGCTCCAACAGCGTCCCCAAGGCCCCCAAGAGCACCCCAAAAGGGCCCCAAGAAGCGCCCAGACGGCCATAAGAGCCAAGAGGCCTCCAAGAGGCTCCCAAGAGGCCACCAAGAGGCTTCTCAAGAGAATTTCCGAAGCACCCAAGATACCCCCCAGACGCTCCAAGAGGCCTCAAAAAAACAAGAGACATCGGAGGAGGCTCTTCTGATCGTCATGTGTTCCTCCTCCTCCTCCTCCTCCTCCTCCTCCTCCTCCTCCTCCTCCTCCCTCCTGTTCCTGCTCCTCCCTCCTGTTCCTCCTCCTACGTCGCCTCCTCCTCCTCCTCCTCCTCCTCCTCCTCCCTCCTCCTTCCTCATTCTCCCCCGTTACCTCCTCCGCCTCATCCTCCTCCTTTGCACATCCAAGAGAAATCAGAAGAGACACCGAGAGTCATTCAAAAGGATTTCTGCATCTTCTGTTCGCCCTCTGGATTCCTCTTTTCAGTGGTTCTCTCATTGCTCCTTCCAATCCATGATCGCTAAGGGCTGTGGGAAAATAAGAATGTGAATGGGAAATAACAATTAATTAGAGGTAGCGCATCTTGCCCCACCACTCGCCGCCAGGGTCCTCTTCTGGGCGAGCCAAGGGCCAGGGACGCGTTAAGTGCAGGCCCTTAGGCCACGGGCACTTGCCATTCAGACTCTGAGACCTCTGTTGTTTAAAGATTTTTTGCAGGGCTCACCGATTTTTCGGGGAAGGCCCGAAGTGTAGGCCCCGCAACGCATACAAAACACTAAAGGTACATTAGTCTCTACAATGCGACACACATGCAATTTGTGTGGGGGAGAGACTTCTAATTCCACCACCTGCCCTAGGCTGGGGGTCACAGCGGCACACGGGCTTTTGGGTTTCTGATTACGGAAAGTGCGAGCACATTGCACGCACCTCCAAGCCGAACCAGTCCAAAGCACTCGGTGAAGGGCGACCGCTGGAGACAGCCTTCGGCATCGGGACGGACGGATTGCGGGCTAAATCCCCGAAAAGAGCTCTCGCGCTCGGGAGCTCTAAGAGAATATTGGCCATACCTAAAGCTATTCCCCCCCAGCCTGCTGGACACACCTCGTACTTGTTAACGTCATTAAGGACCTGTGGGTGATGACGTTTAGCTCCATCTTTAACGAATTCATCGGCTTTGTCATTGCCACGCTGGTGACGCAGGGTAACTCCCGTGAGCGCTCCTTTCGCGTGGGCCTTGACTTTTATCAGACTCCACTGAGGAACTGCTGAACGATCAAGGGCACGCCATACTTCTGACAGCGGACTGGCACCTGAAATAGCCTTCCAAGGATCACGATATCCTCCCAGCAAAGCTTCGCAATCGATGTGAATCAAATACTCGGCCCCATCGGGGTCGTCTCCCTGATCTGGCTCGAGGTGCGCGAGGCCAGACAGGAATGCATATACTTCTCCGAATACTGAACCCTGGGGAAGGAAGCCAGGAACATTACCATAGATGCCTCTGACAAAACCTCCCTCCTCGTTAACTGATACAAAGCCCCATCCAGCTCTAGAAACCAGATGATAAGTGCCACCATAACAGGACCCATCGCTATATAGAAACTCGTTTTTGTTGAATCGGAACGGTTCGACGGGCCCGTCAGGGCCCACGAAACATACTTTTTCTTCCCAGGTCGGTTCGTGCAGGTCGTTCGGCACTGGAAGCCACAAAGAACTGAAAAACGGATCCTCTGGTCCTGCCTCCAGTCCTGCTGCAGCCCACTCAGCAGGGAGATGCTCAGCTCGGCGATCTGCCAGAGCTGGACATTCAAAGCACCTGTGCCATACTCCGTCGATGGTGCCGTGCACTCCGTCGCGGCAAAACGGGCAGAGCGGCTCAAGCTGGTAACCCCACTTGTGCAGGTGACTGGCCGTCACGAAAGACCGAGTGAACACTTGCTTCATTGCACGTTTTTGGAGCTTGCTCGGACGCTTAGGGTTCCAGAAAGACCGGGGGGGGTCCACCCAGAGGCCACGCTCCAAAATCTCAACAGCTCGCTCGTGTTCACTGTCTTTAAGCCTACGCTGCATGCTCTGCTGCACGAACTCCTTACCCAGGTCCCTGACGAAAAATTTAGAAACTGAAACATACGGTATATCTGAAAGTACACAGGGGGCCCCAACCCGCATGGTAAACATCCCAGGACCACGGATTGACCATCCACAGGGCCCCAAGCCAAACAATCCCAGGAAGCATTCGGACGACGTTCCTGAAAACGGCGGACCTCGTGGACCAGCTTGACCAGATCCCCCACAGCAAGGCAGTCCCCAGGCCGAACTTTCTCGTCCGTGGTTAATCAGAACTCCTTTGCAAAACGGGTTCAGGTCGCGCCTGCATGTTTGATCGGGTCCTTTCTGGGCTCCAGGGCATGGGCGAGGTTGAGGTCGGCACCGCAGGTAGTGAGACCTAAAAAGCCAGCAGCCTGAGACCTAAGATTCCTGATCTCTCAGGGCGTCCACCCCACCACTTCCTCACCGTACGTCGTCGCCGGTTTGACTCCACAAAACCAAACCTTGGCCCTGGATCGTTTCGGGTTTCTCAGGCTGCGAATCTTGGCAAGACGAGACCTCCCTTTCCTCCACCTCTCCTTTCGTTTAGCCTTAGCCTGGGGTCTGGACTTGGTCTTCCCAGGCGCAAAGTCCACTCCCAAGTTGATGATAGAGTGGTTAAACTCGCCAGCGTACTGGCCCAGCTGGCTCTGCGCGAGCTCCACAAGCTCAGTGCTGGTACCAATGATCGCAAACTTGTTAAAGGCAAAGCGCAGGTTGAAGAAAGAGGACAACTGCTCTACCAAGAATGCCATAGCCAGGGCCATATTTCTAACACAACTGTGAATACAACTATCATACATGTTCAGCGAGAAGTCGTCTATGTGAACAGCTAAAGTAGGTGCGAACCCGAGCTCCAGGAAACGATTTACAGCGGGTATGCAGTAACATTTGATTTCAAACGTCGCAGTACTACTCCCAGCTACGATCCCCTGCCCAGGCTCCAACTCCTCCGATACCATCCCCTCCATACTGAGTACCCTAGCCCACTGATATGTGTGTATAGCAAAGCGTACCGTGAATAGGGGATACTGCCAGTCCGTGCATGCTCGAACTAGTTGCGGATGCTGAACATGTTCATCGCCAGCGGCGAGTCCAGTCAGAGCGGGCCGCGCAAAGACGAATTAACCTAAAGCGGTGGGCCGGAGCTTCACACTGAGCGTCAAGAATTTGGATCGACTGGGATCGTAGTGTCAAGATAGTACCCTAATACGACGATGGGCAGAAAAATAAAAGCCAACTGAAGCGTTGTGGCTAGCAAATCAAACGTAGGTGAGCGCTGCCATGAAAAACCAGACGGCATAAAAGAGAAATGAAGGAAAACATAATAAGCCCCGCTGAGGCATGTAGTATGTGCTCACATGGTCGGGGACGGGATGATAGAGATGAGAACGATCTGCACAGCTCCGCCTCAGCATTCCCTTCCTCCCCCTCCTTCACTTGCATGTCTGACGCCACTGCCCCAAACGCATCGGCCTCGGAGCCACACCGGGGCCTTGCACCACTCGGAGCCCCTTCGGAGGCCTGGAGAGGCTCATCCTAGGCGCGCTGTCGGCGTGTGGTGGGGGGGGCTGGGCCTCTGCGGCCTCTGCCTGTAGCCCACCCAACCCCGCCCCTCCACCCCCCCCTCTGCCGCACCCCGCGGTTTGGCAGACTCCAGAGCACACCTGGCATGCAAACACCCTCCTGGCCGCACAAACTCCCAACGATACTGGGGCCCTGGGACACACAAACAAATAGACACAAATCCCAGGATTCCCCTATCTTTTCCCATGTCTTCTTGGTTTTCGTCTTCCCCCCACTTCCCATATTTTCTCATATTTTCCTGGGGGTGCACATTCAATGGTGTCTGTGGTGTTTGCTCCCATCCTGAAGCGAGACACGCAAACACCTGCTCTCCCGAGGCCGCGGGGGCGGAATCTGGCGGCGGCGCCATGGAGGCACTCCTGCGCCGACGGCGCGGGCGGGGTGGGGGGGCGCGCGCCTTTGGCGGACGAGACCGCGACGAACTGCCTCGCGCCCCGCGCGGCGGCGCCGGGGAGAAGGGGCGAGAGGACGGGGAAGGAACGGAGAGAGGGAAGGAGGAGGAAGAGGAGGGGGAGGAGGACTTGAAGTGACATGGCTCGGGGGCGCCCTCGACCAGTTGGTCGGACCTAAGACCCCGTACACCACCCTGGCGCACCACTCGAAGTCAATGCAACCATTTTACACACAACGTTGCGATTCCTGGAAGGCTTCCCAGGAACAGCCCCGGCCTTCCCTGCCACGAGTGCGACACCAGCTTTATCCTGGTGCCCCGTGGGACCATGCAGCCAAAGGGATGAAAACCGAGGATCCCTACACATTTGCTCTAGCATTAGGTCGGGCATATCCTCGTGCAGGCGGATGTTTGGACGAAAACTAAAAGGTAGTAAACAACCAAAAAACTGAAAATATAAAAAACAAACAACAAAAAAAACAAAAATCGTCCCCACATTATTTTGTTGACTATGTTTGAATACTCCTCCTGTACAGGAAATGCCCGACTTAATGCTTGGCTGGGGGCGCTGGCAAAGGCTTCAGCGAGCTGTCCAGGGAATCCCACTAGCCCTTTAGGGCGTAGGTGGTCTAGGGTGTTTTGTCTTCCATCCGCCCCTCTTCCCCTTCGGCGAGGGGCTTATCACTGTTCCCTATTAATATACACCCCCTCTCCCCCACCCAGCCGGCAGCCAACCCGGAACAATGATAACCCCATGAGGGCTCCCCCCCACCATCCCTTTCAAAAAACAAAACAAAACGCACTCTGCCTCCACATTTGGAGCATGCGCGGCCGCCCTGCGACCATTTTGTATTGATAGTTTACAAGGACGGCTGGGGCGCCAGCAGATACCACCTGCCTTCTGGGCGCAAATGGTCGACCGACTGGTTTGAAATATCAGTGGCTGCTGCAATGGCTCCAAAATTGGCCAAGAAAGCTCAAAGCTGGGCCCAAGAGGCTTCCAAACCGGCCCCAAGAACACACCAAGTTGGCGCCAAAAGGGCGCCAAGAGGCCCCCCCACCATCCCTGTCAAAAAACAAAACAAAACGCACTCTGCCTCCACATTTGGAGCATGCGCGGCCACCCCGCGACCATTTTGCACTGGCACTTTACAGGGACGGCTGGGGTGCCAGCAGATACCACCTGCCTTCTGGGATCTGGACTCCAGGGACGCCAGCAAGGCCAGGTTTTCAACCAGCCTTGCTGGCGCCCCTGGCATGTGCCGCACCTGGCGCGCCTGGCACGCTTGGGCCTCCAGGATCTGGTGAATCTGGAACCCGCGGCGATTGCGGCGTTCTTACGCGACATGCTGACATCCAGGTGTCACCTATGTGTTGGGAGGGCGGGTGGGAGTGAGCAAGACGGCTTGCGGGCGGGTGGGTAGCTTGACCCACCCCCCTACCCCCTCCTCTGGACCTGGACGGGGCTGGTCGCGAGGTGTCCGGGCGTCCAAAACGGCCTCGGCGAGGAAGCCAAAATCAGTGGTCTTACTAGGGTTTTGGCCCAAGTTTGGCCTCTTGGGGGGGTGGACCCAAATTAAAGCTCCCCTCTTGTTTCCCAAATTAAAGCTCCCCTCTTGTTTGATGGATGTCCTCCAAGATGGCCCCAATAGCGCTCCCAAAGCTCCCAAGAGCGCTTCAAGAGGGCCCCGATAGGCGCTCAGGAGGCAACAGGAGGCCCAAAGAGGCGCCCAAGAGGCCTCCAAGAGGCTCCCAAGAGACCCTCGAGAGGCCCCAAAAAGCTTGCCGAGGCATCCAATACGCTCCAAGAGGCCTCCGGGACCGCCAAGAGGCCTCTCAGACGCTCCAAGAGGCCTCCACTGGGGGACTTCTCCTCTGCGTACTGCCCACTTCCCTGATCGAGGCAACTCCTCTGGGTACTGTTTCTGGATGGGCTGGTGGTGTTACGCGGAGCATCTATAATCTAGTTGCACCAGGTAGCGCAAGCGAGTGGCCAAAGGGCAGGCCGCAGAGACCTCGCGGCCGAACTTCGTCACGCAGGCGGGCCCCGAGCCGGACTAGAAACGGCCAAATGCGTGGTCGTATACGCTCCGTTCCACGGTGGCGACCAGCAGGTTTCCCCGTCCGTCTCGCACTACTAGCGAGCTCGGAACAAGGCCCGCAATCGCAACCCCCGCACTGTTGTGGATCATCGGGGCATCTCCCCCCGCTGATGCGGGTCGTCCGCGAACGCGCTGCATCGCGGACATGCTATGCACGCCAGCCCTTCTCGCACGAACTGGTCGCCTCGCTGCAGCTGCTGCCGCGCCCGGCCGTCTCGCACGAGTCCCCGTGTGCGACATAATACCTGCGACCACTCCCTAATGTGCACACTGTAGCTGCTAATTCCTGCAATGTAGCTGCTGAACCCCTCCCGCGGCTGCCGTGTTCGCACGCGCGCCAGTGAGCCTCCTTCGCACGAGATGATCCCAACATTGTATCTGACAACGTTTGCTGTCACTGGCCGCCGCTCGCACACCCGATGGACCCAGCGGCGAAGCTGATGACAGTGGGCTCGCGTCAAGTTCCTTCAGTTGCTGCCACTGTCAGCCGTCTCGCAATTCCAGGCGCTGCTGCCACCGACTGCCCTCTAGCCTTAGGTCGGGCATGTCCCCCAACAGGGAGATGTTGGGCGAAATCTTTAAATAAACAAAAATAAAGGTCAGACATAAAAAATAGTCCCCTTATACTATGTTTAAACTATTTTTGAATTTTCCTCCTGTAGAGGGACAGGCCCGACTTAACTCTAGCCCTGACGGTCCTTGCTGCCACCGACTGCTGCAGGGCCCGCCTACGGTCACTTTCCGCTGCCAGCGCTCTCGCACAGGAAGGCCCCATCTCCGCCTCTGGCCATGCCGCCAGGACGATGAGCCTCTTGGGCTCGGACAGCTGCTGCTGCCACTGCCGGCCTCCTCGCACTGGCAGCTGCTTCGGCCCCTGCCTGCCTGCCTTGGCGCGCACGGGCAGGCCCCGCTTCCACCGCACTGCGGCCTCGCACCGTGGCGCTGTCAACCACCGCGGCCACTGCCTGCAGTCCTGCACAGGGCGGTCGCCGCGGCCACGGCCCGCCCTCTCGCACCGACGCTTCCTGCTGCCACTGCCGGCCTCCTCGCACAAGGTGACCCCCAGTTTCGAGGCTGGCGATGCCGCGCTCACGTCTGGCTTTCGCGCGCCGACATCTACAAATAAAACTGCTGCTGTCATGATCTGCTTTCTCGCACTGACAAGACATACTGTCGCTCTGACAACCGCTACTGCTTGCTTTCACGCATGAGCCGCTGATGGTGTGTCCTGCCTTTCGCCCGAGTTCATCTCGGCATTGTAATTAATGACGCGTGGCTCGTTCTTCGCCTCAAGCGTTGCCTGTTCGCCACGTGACAGCTGCTGACATTGGGTTCCGCCTGCTTTGACTGTGGTTCCTGCTCGCACAAGCCTTTGCATGCCCACTCCCAGAGCTGCCTGAAGCTGCAGTAGAGAGCGCACGGGATGCGAACATTTGAAGAGTTCGAACTGGAGGGCGCAACTGGAGCTCGCGAGATGGCGGTGCAAGGGCGCCGAGAGAAGAGGAGTGGGGCGGGGGGAGGGCGAGGAGGAAAAGAGATCGAAAAAGAGTGCGAGAAGAAAGCGAAGAGGAGAAAGCACAGTCAATACGGAAGGGGGGGTAATGGGCCCAGTTTACAGATATCAGGCGATATGACAGTTTCAGTCCGCGGTCATGGCCCTCCCGATCACTTCTCCCGATGCACGTACCGTCCAGGACCAATGTGTTGAGGGCGTCTGGGGCAGAGGAGCCTGAAATTGAAAAACAACTAAAGAAATATCCTTCGGAGTTCGAGGCTTTCGTGGTGCTCACGGGGACTTCCATGGCCTCTGCGGGAACTCGAACGACCTCTGCACGCTGAACTGGCCAATTGGCCGTATGCGTTTCCAGCGCAGATAAGGAGAAGGAAAAAAGGACACGACGCAATCGATCGACGAATATCGTATGACCAGTCTTCCTGTGAGTGCTAGACTGGAGGCGAGGAAAAACATCTGGAACCTCTGAACGCTGCTCTGGCCATTGATCTTGGGTGGGCGACGCAGGACGCGCGCGCGCGAGGCAGCGCCACCGAGTGAGCACCGGATTCTTCTTCTGGCACTACTCATGGTAGTGCGCAATGGAACGACGACCATCACCACCACCACATCATCATCACCATCATCATCACCAACAACAACAGCAACATCGCTATCATCATCACCACCACCATCATCAGCAGCACCAGCACCATCATCACCATCGTAATCATCATCGTCATCATCATGACAGTCATCGTCATCGTCGTCGTCCTAATCACCACCAATGGCCATCAATCCACAACATCTTCCTCGTGATCATCATGCACGCCGTCGTCACCGGCATCGTCGTCCAAATTTGAATATGCGCCGCCGTTGTAATAGTACGAATCGTCTCCATCCTCTTCTTCCTCCTCCTCCTCCTCCTCCTCCTCCTCCTCCTCCTACTCCTACTCCTACTCCCCCCTCCTCCTCTTAGTCGTCGTCGGCATCATCATCATGATCATAATCATCACCAAGACTACCACCATGGACCTGAATACCATCATCGCTACCGTCAACACAAATCCCCGACAGCGCTCCGGGAAAAAAAATCCTCGAGACTCTGACGCACAACCAGGCCGATATTGACCGAAGAGTATGCAAAACTTCACGGCCTGGAAGCCCGCACACAGTCTCCAAATCCAGGGTGCACACATGCGTTCCGGGGGTGCCAGCATAACCCCCAACGGCCCCCCGAGGCCTCAAGTAGGGCCCCAACCCTGGATGCTCACTCTTCGTCCCCCTCCTGTCTTCTTCATCCTCCTCCGCCTCATCCCCTGCCCCCCTCTGCCCCTCCTACCCCTCATCCTTCCCCTCCCCCTCATCAGCTTCACTCCCCCTCTCGCTCTCCCCTTCTGGCCCTACTTCGACGAACCGCAGAACGGGCGCTCGAATGCGCATCATTTGCACGTCTTGCACTTCAGGGTGCCCTTCTTCTCGTCGCGCGCGACACTGCCAAGCCTCACGGAGAAGGCCGGCTTCGGTAGTTTTCTCTTGCTCGTGCCGCTGAGCTGATACAGCTGCCAACTGTGCGCCGTGAAACCAAGGTCCTTGAAATCTGCGCACACTACTTCCACTCCTCTCGTCAGGTGTTCCGTCTCCTGCACGCCACTGGTGTGCCCCTGCCGCGGGAACTCCTTCTCGAAACACCCCCTCACTCCTATCCGCATCTGCAGGGGCTACGGAATTATCCGGCTTCGTGCCTCTCGAACACGGCCCGAAACCACGATTAGTCCAAAACACCCTACTGATGAAACCACACACCGCCGCCGTGAAGGCGTCCACCACAGCCGGCGATAAAGACTATACCAAAACAAGGGGTCGGCGGATGTGGCGTAAGCCTACAGAAACGATATCACCACAGCGTCTTCCATATTATCAGCCTCGTCATCAGCATTCGAAGCATCAGTTCCCCACGAGCCTTTGCATGGTCATTCTCCCACGACCTGGAACGTACGTCATCGCAAACCGGAACAGTGGGCACGTGTGCACAGTGAGATATACGGATAACCTACGTGTAGACCTGAAGGTAGGCGAGCGCATAGGCCTTGGCCAGGCCTGTCGACAGGCCTTTGGGTAGCCTAACAGTCGGCCTATGGGCAGGCCAGGCCTAGAGAGTGCGCAGGCCTGGCGGACGGTCTATACTGACGCTATGCGTAGGCCAAGTGCAGGGCTGATGGCAGACCGAAGGCAGAACCTCTGGTAGACCCTCTGGTAGACCCCTCGACAGCCTGTCAGTAGAGCTATCGCGAACCTGTGGACAGTCTACGAGTCAGCCGCCGTAGACCTGCGGGTAGGCTGGAACAGGCGGGTAGCACGCCTGAGTGTAGGGTGTGAAGTAGTCGCGCACGGCGTCTACGGTAGACTGTGTAAAGCTTATCCCTGGGATTGTGATGTGGGCCAGAGGGGGGATCAGGGATTCCCTGGGAGTCCCCACGGTAGCGCGGCTGGCCCAAGAAGGCCCCAAGACGGTCCAAGCGGGCCCCCGCCGCACGATCGGTCCAAGACGCCCAAGATGGTGGTCGTTTCTTCATTCATTGTTTTGCCGATCGGCGTTGGCCCGCGCACCCTCCCCTCCCCCCCCTGGAGTAGATCTTGGCTGTGTTTGGCGCCTGTTTCGAGCAGGCGGAGTCTCCCCCATCTGACGCACGGTTGCAAACAGTCGCGCAAATCAGAGGTCCCGGGCCAGACACCCCCCCCTCCCCCCTTCCGCCCAGTGTCGAAACGCCGAAAAAGAAAACGTTCACATGGCCTCCCGTCGGCCGAAACAGCGCCCAAGACGTCCCAAGAGGCCTCCAAGAGCCGCCCCCAAAGGGCGGAGAGGCCCAAAAACGGCACTTCTCGTCAGGTTTCCCTCTGTTTTGGGGGGGCCCTCTCCTCTTCGACCTCCCAGCGCTCCGTGACGGCCCACGAGGCCCCCAAGACCGCACCACTCAGCGCCTGGCCTGCCCATGGATTCGGCCACCACCCGCGGAGGCCGCTCGAGACGCTTGCCGGGGCCACTCCGCCGCGGGGGCCGGGCGGGCGCCCCACCCGTTGTCGGAGACGGCGATGTCGCTGATGACGGCAGGCGTGACGCCTCCGCGCGCGGGGCTGGCTGGCGTCAGCGGCGGCACCCCAGGCTGGCTCGGAAGGCCGAGGGCCTTCAGAGCCGGCTGATGAGACCCGCACCCCCCGCCTGCCCCCGTGAGCGCGGCGCCGAGGGAAGGCGTGTGAGACCTTTGGCTGGCCGCGCCCCTTCTTTTTTTCACGACGCTGCATGTTCAAGCTCATGGGAAGGACTGTACCAGTGGAGCCAATGGTACACACTCGAGATTGTAAAACAAAAAAATGTACTACGACATCTGAGTTTCGGCGCTCCGGCGCCCCCGCCGAGCTCTTAGAGGGCCGCCCCCTGGGGCGCACATCGGCGCCTGTCCTGTCCTGTCCTGTCCCCGCCCAGGGGTGGAGAGCAGACCGTGCACTCGAGCACGGACCGTCGGCGGTCCGCGCGGACGCCTCGGGCCCGGCACTGGACCACTTCCGTGCCGGGAGGGCGAGCTGCCAGCGGCTCCCTCGGGGGTCGCTCGGGAGGGGGGCAGGAGCGCACCGAGGATTCGAGTGTTGCTAGAAGTACCCCTGGCCCAAAACGCCCCCAGCTTCTCGCTCCATTTTGGAGCCCCGGGGACTCTCTGGGCCTCGCGATGAGTGCTTTGAAGGCCGTTTGGGCTATCCCGAAAATCATGGGGGCACCTTAGCCCAGGGACACCTCTAGCAACACCCGAAGGATGGAAGACACGCTCCGTGTGTTTCTCTCGCCCCTTCTCCGCGCCACTTGGCTCCACGCGGTTTGGCAAATGCCAATTTTCACTGGAAAGTGCGTTGCCATACCAAACAAATCAACTCCACGCTGCAAACCTTCAACTGCCGTGCGATGCAAAGGGTCGCCAGGCAAACTGGGTGCAACTCACAAACCGACGTGCGATGCGCAAACTCATGAAGTGAACCGTGGCCTGAGAAAACAAGCGCGTGAAAGGTAACGAAGAATCACCCCTACGCTGGCCGCAGGCTGGAGGATACGAAAATCGAATAGGCTATGAGTAATCCAGCCATGTTGCAGGCCAGAGGAATGCTAGGCAAACCAGGTACGCCACACAACTGGACATGCAAGAGGCACTCACGCAGAGAACCAGAGCCAAAGAGACAACATGATGACACCAAGAACGACCCGTGACAAGTATTACCCGGGTATGTCTGTGCATGGGGAGAGGGAGGAGGAGCAAGGAGAGAAGGGGGAGCAGAAACAGCAGCGCGATAACCATTCAGCGACGCACTCGTGAGCCCAGTGAGCTAACTCGAATGCCGTGCACACGATTAAACGTCAAACGCCCAGCAGCGCAGCTGGCCTGTGCAAATCAGAGATGGCCTGCATTCAAAACCGAGACGAAGAACTGCGGGAAAGGGAACAGCTGTGCATCCAGGGAGGCTCGACATGGACGGGCAGGGGCTAGCCTGCAGCATGCACCACCACACGGGGGGGGTGGGGGAGAAGGGGGAGGGCCAGAGGAGGAGGAAGTGGAGGAAGAGGAGGAAGGAGGACGAGGAGGAGGAGGAGGAAAAGGCGGAGGAGGAGGGGTAGGAGGATGAAGGAGGGGGAAGGAACGGGGCAGGGCGAGAGGAGAGAGCACTGCACAGCGTGATGCGGGAGGCCGCAAGGCCACCGCCGCGCACGAGGGGGGACCCGGGCGCGCCCCAGGCTTGCGCACCTGCCGGAGCGGGCGACGGATCGGGGCGGGGGCCCCTGGAACATGGCATTGGCAATCTAGCTAACTGCAACAATGTAACAGGGCTGGGCCTGAAGAGTGTTTTTCGTTTTCGTTTTGTCTTCGTTTCGTCTTGAATTCGCCTTCGCTGCAAAACGACATCAAAACGAAAACGGCCCACGAAATTGCCAAAACACCGTTTAGGTCCACCCTGCAATGTAACGACACGCTTGGCTGAGGAGGGAAGCAGGAAGGAGAGAACACAAAAACCTACAACATACTTTAACAAGGCCAGCTCGATCTGCCCACGGCGTCGACGACACGCCGCGCGACCAACACATCTGGAGTCCACCACACGCGCGCTGAGCGGGTGCGCGCAAATCCCATTCTGGCAGTGCTGCTCTACCGCATCGCGCGCTTGCTCCAGGGTGGCCGGGCCCTGCGCGCGAAAAGTGCCGGTGGCGCAGTAGGCGGCGTACACCAGGACCGCTGCGCAAAGCAACCACTTGTCATTCGCGAAGGAGGCGGCCAGCAGGAACGCCTCCTTCCCACAATTCTGCATCTTAAGATACGAACGGGCCAACGGCAGACCCCCCCCCGCCCACCACCCCTGTTTAAAAACAATAAAAATATACATGCGTGAACGCCACGCGACCAATTTGCAAACGAAAAAACGTTGGGGCGTCGATACATCGCACGCCGTGTGCAATGCCACTACCCCTCCAGCACGTTGCACCAAAACCTGGATCATGCGCGGAGGCCCCGCGATCAAGTTGCCGTGATGTTTGACAAGTGTGGTGGGGATGGCGGCTGCGTGCAATGCCAACACCCCCACGCCATCTTTTGCAACCACATGTGGATCATCCGCGGGCTCCCCGCGATCACAGCGCACTGGTTTTTGACAGGGACGGCGGGGGGGCCTGGCACGGTGTCTGCCGCGTGCAATGCCGCCACCCCACCACCCCTTGCAAACCGCAAAAAGTGCGGTTTGCACAAGAATCTGAATTATCCGTGGGCGCCCCGCGATCAGTTTGCGCTGGTTCTTGACAGGGGCGGCGGGTCGGCCGCCACATGGCCTGAACTGACCAACCCCACCATCCCCGACAAAACCACAGGCAGAATGATTGCGAGCGCGCACAAGCTCTCTCTCTCTCTCTCTCTCTCTCTCTCTCACACGCACAATACACAGCGCTGGCAAACCGGCCGTCACTGTGCATCTGCTTTGACAGGGATGGAGGGGGTCGACAACTTGCCCAACGTGGCACATGTGGCACGCGTAGCGCACCTGGCATGCGCGGCGCGCCTCGCGGGCGTCGCGCACCTGGTTGGCGCCTGCATTGGCCCCCGACGGTTGTCGATGGCAGCACGGGCCTATGCTGAGATCCGGATGCTACGTATGTGATGAGAAGGGCGAGTGGGAGCGAGGGGGGAAGTTCGTGGCGTCCCTGCCAGGAACTTGACCCTTCCCATGTCGAAGATGACGTCGTCATCGCACGTTGGAGTTAAGGTTTCTGGGAAGAGGTGCGATAGCGAGGGTGGCGGCGCGAGGTGGACAGAGGCCGCGCGCCCCCCTGGACCGCCGCATAGGCAGATTGGGCGGCGCCGCCTGGAGCCAAGTCGGCGGCGGCCGAACGAGCTGCGCCGCGCCATTGGGGCGCGCCCTCAAAGTCGACAGGGGGGGGGGATCGCTTCTGGATGGTCGAGGTCTCCCAAACTCGGTCCGAGAAGATGGAGTCGGAAAATCCCGCCGCATCACATATGCATCGGTGATGTGTCAGCGACATCGGCGATGCATCCGCGACGTCGGCGTGGAGAAATTCGGGCTCCACATCAAGCCGCACTGCCGATGCATCGGCGATGCGGCGCAATCCTCCGACCCTACATATCTACTCGGACCCCATTTGGGAGACCTAGACACATGGCCCACTAACTCCTCGAACCCTTCCCGGGTTCCGGATGTCGAGAATGCTGGAGAAAGCTCCACCGATTTTCCAGCACGCCCACAACAAAGATCTGAACCCCCAGAGGTCTCCCTGGAGCTCGCCCGAGGTCTGTGGAAGTTCCCAGAAAGCTCTGGAGGCCCGTCTCCTCCTCCTCCTCCTCCTCCTCAGTGCCTTGTTCTTGTGAGTATCTCCTCTTTGCCGCACCCCGAGGCCAGTCGAAAGATCTGGCCGGTCGTTTCGCCTGAAACTTCCTTACCACTTATGAGCCTGGAGCTTGAAACTGGTAGCAGTTTCATAGAGGGAGGGCGTATCGCCAAAATATAGTTCCCACATTCGCGCCGCGAACATTAGTCATACAAATTTGCAAGAGCTCCACGACTTGCAGGCGTGTGGTTTTCAAAATGTGGCTCTCGCCTTAGCGCCGCGAACACTCGTCTAAAACACTTGTCAGAGCCTCACGGATTGAGGGCGGTGTCTTTTCAAAATGTGGCTCTCGCCTGAGCGCCGCGCAAATTCGTTTCAGATGTGGCTCTCGCATGAGCGCCGTGCAGATTCGTTTCGCCGTCCATTGGTTCTCATAGCTAGCGTACCAAACGACTGCGTTTGGGCACGATTCAGGATTGTCAAGGCGCAACAGTTACGTTGATTCGTTGTGTTGAAGTCCCAGGAGCGGAATTCTGACCCGATCCCATATCGTCACGACGAAACAATCAGGTTGACTCGTGGCGGTGGATGAAATCCTGAGAATGGTATTTTGGCACGCTTCCGGATGTTCACACTGTTGTCCCTGCACAGGGCACTTCCCTCAGTGGTAATGAACCCTTGGAGGGACCTATGGAAAGGGAACGTGGAGGGAGGGTGTATTCCAACATTGTTGGTGAGTCTTGGGTTTGCACTGGTTCTCGTCCTCTTCCTCGTCCTCCTCGCCCTCGTCCTCTACGCCCTCCCCAACCTCCAGCTCGTCGTCTTCCTCCTCTCCCTCCCTCCCTCCTTCCTTCCCTCCCTCCCTCCTTCCATCCTTCCTTGCATCCTCCTGTCCTTCCCTCCTACACGTCCTCCTACTACGGTTCACGGTCTGGCTACTTCTCTTCATCCTCCGGTGCCACTCCTGACGGGAGCGCCGACGCCTCTCGAGAGGGTGTACAGGTGCTGGAACACCTACCCGCGGAGAGAGCCGACGGCACGCTGGACACTCCTCGTCCCCCACCCCCCTCCCCGCCCTCCTGCCCCTCCTCCTCCTCTCCCTCCTCCCCTCTCGCAGCAGCATCGGCTGTCAACATTCCGCGCCCGCCCACGCGCGTGCCCCCGCGCGCGGACGCCCGACCGACGTGGGCGCGGGGCCCCCCGGACGCCACCAGGGGACCGTTCCGAAAGGGGGCCTCCTCCTCCTCCTCCTCCTCCTCCTCCTCCTCCTCCTCCGCATGGCAGCTCTGGCTCAAGCCTCGTGCTGCTGGGCGCCTCGGCCTCGGTCCGTGGGCGCTCCGCCCCGCTGGGCCGCGGCCGGCCGGGGACGTGGCGAAGGCTAGCCGCGTGGCGCGGCCGCTGTGAGGCCCCCCACGGGGCCCTCACCTCGGGTTACAGTCGGGGCGTTGACCTAAGGAACCCTAAATAAGGAACGAGGCCCCTTTTTACCATAAGTTGAACTTCGATTTCCCATCGAAAACAGAAGGAAAACCTGGGGCAAACTGTGAAACAATTAAGGAGCACGGAGCCCCTCCCAAACGAAAAGGGTTCCTTCTTCAGGGACCCGACTGCATGCTGTTCCCATCCGACTTAAGGACCACATCCCAGAAATAATTGAGCACCCAGAAGAGTGTCAAAACAGTGTCGAAGCAGTGTCGAAACAGTGTCGGGCGAGTGTCTCCCAGGGCCCGACACGTGAAAACCCTTGAGTTTCGGTACTTGTTTGGGCCGCTCGAAATTCTTCCTGGTGATCACCGCTAAAGTCGGTTGGAGCATCATAAATCTTGGGAGCCTTGGGAGGGGGGTCGACTTTGAAGGGGCCCGGGACGCACAAATGAATAGACACAAATAGCAGGATGCCCCGTATTTTTGTCACATACTTTCTCGGGTTTCGTCTACCCCCCCACCATCCCATAGTTTCCCATCTTTTCTGGGGATCGACGATTGATTGTGTCTGTGCTTTTTCCCCTCCTGAGCGTGGCGCGACCGCTGGAGGCCCCCCACGGGGCCCTCATCTCGGGAGCCTCGAGAGGGGGGTCGATTTGGCGGCGCGCACAAGGAGGTAGAGGGAAGGGGGAAGGTCTCATAGAACCACGCCGCTTCTCAGAAGGCGCCGGCCTTACATGGTTTAGACAAGGCCCGAGCCTTCTTAGAAGCACAGGTGCTTCAAAGAAGCCATGCCCCCTCCCTCTACCCCCGTCTGCGCGTGGCCGACTTGAGATGGAGGTCGATGCAAATGTGGGTCAGCCAGAGCGCTGGTCTTGCAGGATCCTGCAGAGCCAGGGCTGCATTGATTGACCCGAACTAGCGCGCAAAACCCTACAAAACCCAACAAGCACGGGTTTAGACTGACTCGGGTCAGTAGAGTCCCGATCATCGCGGTGCACGCCGCCGCCGGCCTTGCTGTCAAAGGCGGGCAGCCTGGGGCCTGGGCCGTTCGTTTGCTGCGGGCGGCTGCGGGGCTCTTGCACGTGGCGGCGTCCGTGCTCGCGGTCTCCGCCCCTCCCCCGGCGGCGGCGAAGGCTGGGTGCCCTGCTCAGCGCTAGCGGTGCCGCTGCCCGCGCGGCCGCGGAGGCGAGCGTGGGCAGGAGGCCGTCGTGGCCCGCACGAGCGCGGCCCGCGGCGCCGCACCCCGTGCGGGTGCAGCGGTGGGGCCCCGGTGCCATGGACGACGGCACGAAGGACGGGGTGGAGCTCGAGGAGCTGGGCGACAGCTGGGCCCCCCCATGGCCGTGGAGGGGCGGGCGGGGGGACGGCCGGAGCTTGCGACGTCCGCGCTGCCAGCGGCTCGGCCGACGGCGTGCAGCTGCCCGCCGGGGAGGCGCACGCCGCCGCCCGGGCCGCCTGCGGCAGGCGGTGAGGCGCGCTGCCCTCGGCTGCGGTGCCGCGTGCACTCTGCCGTGTCGGCGCGAGTGCCACGGGTCGGGTCGAGTCGGCGTGAGGAGGATGGAGCTGCGACCACACGGGCGGCGTCTTTGGAACCAAGGCCTTCACGCCCGGCCAGGGCGGGGCCCAGCGGAGACTCGCCACATCGTGTTTTGTTGTCGTTCCGGCGCCATTCCGTCGCCATTCCTCCTCCTCCTCCTCCTTTTCCTCCTCCTCCTCCTCCTCCTCCTCCTCCTCCTCCTCCGCCTCCTGTCGCCGAAGCGGCCGTTTTCCTCCTCCTCCTCCTCCTCCTCCTCCTCCTCCTCCTCCTCCTCCTCCTCCTCCTCCTCCTCCTCCTCCATCCTCCTCTTCCTCTTCCTCCTCCTCTTCCTCATCCTTTTTGTCCTCCTCCTCCTCCTCCTCCTCCTCCTCTCCTCTTCCTCATCCTCCTCCTCCTCCTCCTCCTCCTCTCTCCTCCTCATCATCATCATCATCATCATCATCATCATCATCATCATCATCATCATCATCACCACCATCATCATCATCATCATCATCATCATCATCATCATCATCATCATCATCATCATCATCATCATCATCATCATCATCATCATCATCATCATCATCATCATCATCATCATCATCATCATCATCATCATCATCATCATCATCATCATCATCATCATCATCATCATCATCATCATCATCATCATCATCATCATCATCATCATCATCATCCGCAGGTTAAGCGTGTGTTTGCTTTGATCGGGATTTGTTCGTGGGGGGGGCCTGTCGGTGGGCCCAGGCGGGGACGACACCCCTTGCCTGGGGACAAACAATTGTCCTTCGATGCCCCCCGCTCCCTTTTTCCCCTTTCTCTGTCCCCTGGTTTTTTCCTTTGTAGGCTGACCTCCTCCTCCTCCTCCTCCTCCTCCTCCTCCTCCTCCTCCTCCTCCTCCTCCTCCTCCTCCCCCTTCTCCTCCTCCTTCTCTGGCGCTGCCAGAAATGGCCATGGCCGTACCCCACCCCGCCCCACCCTGTGGGGGACGTGTGGCCAAGGACTGGATCCGTGAAAAACGACCTCCCTTGACCGCACCGTAACCGCCATACCACCGACCGTGTTCACCAATCCTGTCAACGCCCTCCCTCCGTGCTCAAAGCTGGGAGCTTCAGAGGAAGGACGGCAACTGCACATTGATTCGCGCTCCTTGCCCACATCTGGGAGCTGAGGAATATACAGACGCGTTCATACGGTGGGCCGTCAACGGTGCAATATGCATCATCCGGAAATCAACATTTCGCACAACACCACCTCATGGGTTAGACGACGAACTGCATTTCCGCGGTTACGAACATGCGCAATACAATCATCGCCTGCATCACTTGTGTAACCACCCGCACCATCACGTGTACCAGTTTCTCCATGACCACTACCACCACGCGCGTCACCACGAGCGCCAAATATCCAGAACACGATTGCCGACCAATCACAAATACGGATCTTGACGAAAACGCACGCATACTCCTGTCCCTCCCCGCATCCACCCCCTCCACCTCATCATGATAATCCTCCTCCTCCTCCTCCTCCTCTTCTTCCTCCTCATATTAGTATTATCATTACTCGTACCAATAATACTAGTAGTATTGTGTTGTCTTTCTTATAACTATTATGATTCGCCTTATGATTATGAAAACGTTTCGTATTATTAGTATATGGTGTTGCTTATTTGGATTATATTTGTTATTACTACTACTACTACTACTACTACTACTACTACTACTACTACTACTACTACTACTGCTACTACTACTACTACTACTACTACTACTACTACTACTACTACTACTACTACTACTACTACTACTACTACTACTACTACTACTACTACTACTACTACTACTACTACTACTACTACTACTACTACTACTACTACTACTACTACTACTACTACTACTACTACTACTACTACTAGTATTAGTATTAGTATTATTAGTAGTAGTAGTATTATTACTAGTAGTATTACTATTAGTATTACGAGTATCCGTATTATTCTTATTAGTAGTCGCATTATTTTAATTATTGGTAGTAGTAGTAGTAGTAGTAGTAGTAGTAGTAGTAGTAGTAGTAGTAGTAGTAGTAGTAGTAGTAGTAGTAGTATTGGTAGTAGTAGTGGTAGTAGATATGATCCGCCTTCTTCTTACTATGTTTAAACTTCTTCCTCTTTATAGCATTCATTCATACTAGTATACATTTCGTATTAGTAGTATTCGTATTACTTGTATGATTAATGTTACTAGTATTCTTCTTATTCGTACCATTATGAATGTCACTACTATTATTACTCCTTTTCCTCCTCCTCCTCCTCTTCCTCCACCTCCTCATCCTACTCCGACGCCTCCACTCCCAACGTCGTCCTCGCCGCTCGCCGTCGTCGCCGGCCATGACCGCCATCGCGCGCTTCCGGCAGCAACGGAAGCGCCCTGAATCCACGGCACTGGCCGGAGGCCACTACAATGCGGTTCCCGACGAAAGCGCACACATCCGCACGCATCCGCAGGCCTGCCGCGGGAAACTCCCCCGGCAGACCTGCTCGGTAAGCTGCAGAATCTGCTGCCGCATCGCTTGGTGAAGCTGGCCTGGCGCCTCCCGGCCGGCCAGCGGCGCCAGCCGGGGTTGGCAGGACATGCCGCCGTGCACCGTGGATGCAGGAGAAGGAGAAGGAAGAGGAGGAGGAGGAGGAGGAGGAGGAAGAGGAGGAGGAGGACGGGGAGGAGGAAGAGGAGGAGGAGGAGGAGGAGCGGGAGGGAGGGAGGGAGGAGGGAGGGAGGAAGGAGAAGGGAGGCGGCGGCAGCGGCGGTGCTCGACTGATCCACGCGTCTGCTCGCGTGAAACCCGTGAGAGAAGCAACGCAGCACAAGGAACACGAGTGCGCGACTGGTAGCGGTGCATTCGCACGTGGGGGGGCGCTCAAGGAACGTCTCGCGAGCCCAACGCGGAGATATCCCTGGGGCGAGACCACTCCCTCGAATCCCAGTCAAAATTCGGCGGCCACGAATCTGAACAGCGGGCAAGCCGACAAAATCAAGAGTGACAGCGAACACTAAAATTACAAGGTCCCAGGGCGTCGATCCGCGGAAAAATTCCTGTCGGCACTCGGGGTCCCTCTGATCAGTCGGTAGATCGCTGCATCTAGAGCCGAGGAGGAGGTCAAGCGGGGACGACGAGACGAAGACTCGGACGACGGAGGCAATCGAGGACGACGAGACGAAGACTCAGACGACGAAAAAGGAGGCGGAGGCAAGGAGGAACTGGCCTGTCCAGCACTGTGTTGGCGGGCCTGCTTCGCTGGAAGAGCGGTGCTCTCCCTGGGCTCAGGCTCAGGCCTCACAACCGATGTCGGAACAGCTGTCGGGAAGGTGGTCGTCATGGCTGTGTCCAGGCGCCAAGGTAGGAACTGCTGTCAACACTGCGGTCGGTGCTGCTGTCGGCGCAGTAGCGCTGGCGACTAGCTGTCCAGACCGTTCAGCGCGAGCTGGAGCAATCTCTTCTGATGCGACTTTGGTGGAATGCCCCGCACGATCTTCGCCCCAATTGTAACAACGCCGCCAAGACCTCTGTCTAAATGCCCGTGTTTCGGGATTCGATGAGTATCTTCATGGCACTCTTGACGCGCGTGTAGGCCAAGTGACAGTACTTCACATGCTGGGCCACCGAAGCATTCGTGAGCATCGGGTCCCCTTTCACGCGATCGAGATAGGCCTTGATGGCCGCGGCGTTCTGAGCGCCCACCCGATCCCATTGCTGCTGGAGTGCGCCCACGAACGCGAGTCACAGGTGGGGGCATGGCACCCCCAGCTTCTCCAAAGCCTCGACTGGGTAGAAGGGAGAAGGAGGGAGGGAGGAGGGCCCTCTCACGAGCGGTGTCGCGGAAAGAGGGGGCGCACCGCACAGACAGAGGGCCTTCGTGTGGTGCATCCACCAAAAGACGGGCGGGCGCTGGACCGAACTGCGACGAAGGCCCGGCGCAAACATGGGCGCAACCACCAGCACGGCCAGTCCCAGCTCTCTTGTTGTTCAGTTGTCTCTCTCTCTCTCTCTTTCTCGCTCTCCCTCTTCCTATCTCTCCCTCTCTCTCCCTCTCCCCTCCTCCGTCGACTGCGAAGACCAAGCGAAAGACCGATCGAACGAACAAGCCATCGAGCTCACGAATAAAACAACCTTCGAGAAAACACAAGGGCAAACGAGGGAACAGGCAACTTGTTCGTCGCCCATTACGGGGACACTGGGGGGAAGTCGTCAACGACCTATCACCATTCATATCATATCAAAGACGAAAGTGTGTGCGTCGATGGATCTATCGAAACACCACTCGGCATCTTACTTTCACACACGCGGGCCCCATGTGGTTTCGATCCCTTCCGGCCCAAGATACAAATGCCTGCAGGATTGAAGAAATCGATCCACACGGAGTCCAAGTACCACGCGGCGTCTCAGTTTTTGGGAGGACAAAAGGATGCCTGCACCGCTACTCCCTGGACCTCTCCTGGGGTGCCGTCTGTCTCAAACTTCGAAAGGAATACACCCGTAGTGGCGCGGACAATCCAGGAGGAACAGCTCCATCGGTACCCTTCTCTCCTCGGAACGTCGCCCTGCCCCTCCCCCGCGATGCTGCAGCAGCAGTCGGCCAGAGCCAGGCCTTGCCCACACGGCTTCGTCTGCTCGCGGCGCTGACGGACGCGAGCGCGACTGCATAGCCGACGGGCCGCGCCGGACACGGGGCGCATTGGAGCGGGTGGAACAGCGTTGGGCGGCCGCAGAGGAAGAGGGGGGAAGGAGACCCAGCCAAATCAGGCCAGGTGGCAATACACCCCCTGGCGCGTCGGCAGGCACCGCATGATGCACGAGCTCCCGCGCAAGGGGTGGACACCGCGCGAAGGGGGAGGGGCACGCGCGACGAGCGAGGACGCGAGGCGAGGCGGAGCGAGGGAGGGAAGGACGAGCGACTGCCGAGAATCGGCGAAGACAGCCTCGCCCACACAGGGGCACGCGAGAGGAGCGCGCGGCGGCGCCGCGGGCGCGCGCCACGCCGCCGCGCGCGGGCCCGTCGCCGGCGGCGTCCTGCACGACGAGCGCCTGCCTTGGCCGCCGAGGCGCGGAGGAGGCTCGGGAGGGTCGAAGGCCGAGGCCCTGGGCATCGCTCGGCCGAGCCTCTGTCTGTGAGCATCGTTTAGCCCATCCCCCTGGGCCCCACTGGGCGATCTACTCCCCCCCTAGATGGGGAAATAGGCCGTATCCTTCGGGTTTCGAGGGGTGTATCCCCAACTGGGGGCGTAATCTGGTGGGGGTCTCGAAGGGGATGAGCATGGGGATGGGCATCGGTCAAACGATACTGAATCTGGGGGCCTCCCAGGTGGTGTCCGAGCAGATGGGGTCGGAGGATCGCGGCGCACCGCCAACGCAGCGCCGACGCATCGGCGATGCATCGGCGACGCCGGCGTGAAGATGACCAGGCTCCACGTCGAGCCGTATCGCCGATGCATCGCCGATGCATCGCCGATGCATCGGCGATGCGGTGCGATCCTCCGACCCCATCTGCGCGGACCCGATTCGGGAGGCCTGACTCGAAGATCGGGGCTCTGCGCATCGCTTGACCGATTCTCTATCCCCACTGGCGTGGCCTCGGCCCCACTTCACGAGCGGCGAACACATCCGCATCCACGCATTCTCGCGGTCTGGATTCCGGGGCGCGAATCCCGCGGATGCCTAGTCGCACGGATCTGTTCCGCGCGGAGCATCCGCCCAAAAACTTCTCGCATCCGCGGGGTCGCGGCCAAGGGGCCCGATCCGCGAGGCCGCGGATACGGATGTGTGTTTCGCCCATGGTCCAAGACGATTATGTATCCCCACTGGCGTGGCCCTCGCCTTACTGGCCGACATACCCATCGAATTAGGCGAGGACATATGCCTGTTCCTTCAGGTCTCGCTGGACATATGCCCACCTAGGACCTAGGAGTGTGGGCTGGTGGGGCTGAGATAGCATGGCCCGACGAGGATTGGGATAGGTTAGGAGATACTGAGGCTCGGAGATCCCAGCCGTCCAGCGGAATGCTTTTCTTCAATCGAGGCGTGCTTTTTCCGCTCGTTTTCCGTTCCAGGGACCGCTTGCAGCCCCCGGCACAAATCAATAATGGATCCGGGACGACAAGCTGACCACGGGGAGGTTTTTGCAAGAGTGTTGCTCCGTTTAGGCCCCTGGGGACCTCTGAGTTCTGGTGGCCTCTGGAGACTTCTCCAGCATGCAAAAACCGGGTCATGTAACCGGGTCCTGTAACGAGTCCTGGGCCCCGGGGCCTTCATCCAGGACCAATCCCTCATCCGGAGTCGCTTTCTGACAGTCCTGGGGCCTGTGCAGGGCCCCGAGAGCCCGAAAACGGCGAAAAAACTCAGGGCCCATTTCCCTGAGGACCCCTTTCCTTCATGGCGAGAGACTTCTGGAGACCTCTGGGGACCTCGGGAGGCGTCTGGCGGATTGGCTGCATTCAAAGCCAGGCTCCCAGCGTTAAAGTTTCCCCGTCGTCGAGAAGAGGGTTTTGGATTTTGAAGCTCCTGCGTCGTCGTCGTTGTCCTTTCTCCTGGCCGCGTTGTCGTCGTCGTCGCCATCGCCGCCGTCGTCGTTGTCGCCGCCGCCGTTGTCGTCGTCGTCGTCGACGTCGTCCTCGTCCTCGTCGTCCTCGTCGTCCTGTGTCGTCGTCCTCGTTGCCCTCGTCCTTACTCCTGTCCTCTCTTGCCCTCTCCCTCGCCGCAGGCACCGCACGCGTGCTCGGCCGAGCGTGCGCTGCTTCCCCTAACCTATCATGCGCCACTTCACCATATGAGAAATAATATGCCCCATCCAACGGGCCAGAGGCGTGCTAAGATCTCCGGTAACTGGTTAACAATATTTCCAGTTCGCGCGCGCGAAGCGGCCCCTGGGGGCCCTCAGACGAAAAGTACCCCTGCAAGGTCCCGGGAGAAGCCACCAAAGCACTCCAGGGGAGGGCCATTTTTCGACACCCCTCACGAGGATCGTGGCCTCCGAGGGAGGAGCCGCAATCGACTACCCCCCCTCCCTCCCCAAGAGGCCCCCAAAAGCCCCCCAAGAGGCCCTGGGGGCCCCCAAGACGCCGCCAAGGAACCCCAAGAGACTCCCAAGAGATCCCCAAGAGGCCCCCAAGAGGCCCTAAAGAGGGCTCCAGGGCCGGCGGAATGAGCGAAGCGATTAAATAATATGCACCCCGTCTTGAACGAGAACACGACATCGCACCCCCTCCTCGACGCACGCGTGCCTCTTAGATCGCCCCCGGTGAAGTTGCTTTCTGGCGCTCTTTTCAACATCCAGAAAGCCAAGATGGCCTGCAAAACGGCTTCCAAGGCATTTCAAAATGACGCCAAAACTGACCAAGATGGCCCAATACGGCTCAAGAGAAGAGAAGACAAGACAAGACAAGACAAGACAAGACAAGACTAGACAAGACAGGACAAGACAAGACAAGACAAGACAAGACAAGACAAGACAAGACGAGACGAGACGAGACAAGACAAGACAAGACAAGACAAGACAAGACAAGACAAGACAAGACAAGACAAGACCAGACCAGACCAGACCAGACCAGACCAGACCAGACCAGACCAGACCAGACCAGACCAGACTAGACTAGACACTAGACTAGACTAGACTAGACTAGACTAGACTAGACTAGACTAGACTAGACTAGACTAGACTAGACTAGACTAGACTAGACTAGACTAGACTAGACTAAACTACGCTAGACAAAACGCGCACAGCCGGCCGGTCGGCCGTCCCGGAGCGGGGCGCGCGGCTCAAGAGGCGCCCGAGACAGCTCAATAGGCTCCCAAGACGGCCCAGGAGGGCTCCAAGAGGCCCTCCAAGAGAGCCTGGGGAGGCCAAAACCATTGATTGCCCTTAGGTGTTTGAGGGATTTTGAGGTTCTCGCCTATTTGGATTTCCGCTCGCCCAAGACGGCCCTAGGGGCCTCCAAGATAGTTCCAAAACAGCCCATGAAGCCCCCAAGAGGGCCCCCAGTCGGCCCAAGAGGACCCCAAGATCGCACAAGAGGCTCACAAGAGGGCGCCACGACGGCCCTAAGAGACCCCCAAGAGGCCCTGAAAATCCCCCGCGGGAGGCTCCCAGGAGGCCCCCAAGAGGCCCAAAGAGGGCCCCAAGAAGCTCTCTCCTCCTCGTCCCCATGTTCTCCCTCTACCCCGCCTCCTCCTCCTCCGCCCTCCTCCTCCTCCTCCTCCTCCTCCTCCTCCTCCTCCTCCACCATTCCTTTTCCTTCTCAACAATTTTTCCCTGTCGCACCCCGAGGGCCATTTTCAGGACGGGCTGGGTGTTTCGGCTGAGACTTCCTCACTAATCCCACCAGCCCTCTGGGCGTCGGTGGTTTAGGGCGTTTCCTCTTCCACCCCTCCCTCTTCCCCTTCGGGGAGGGGTTTACCCCTCCCCCTACCCCCTCCCCACTGGCCTGGACAGGAGGGGCGGGGAGCGGTCAGAGCGTCCAAAACAGCCTCGGCGAGGAAGCCAAAATCATTGATTTCAGCAGGGTTTTGGTCTTGTGTTGGCCTCCTGGGGGGGGCACCGCTAATTAAAGCTCAGCTCTTCTTTGATAGATCTCCTCCAAGATGGCACAAAGAAGCGCCCAGGAGGCCCCAAGAGGTCCCAAGATGGCCCCAAGATGGCCCCAAGATGGCCCCAAGAGGCCCCCAAGAGGCCCCCAGAAGGCCCCCAAGAAGACCCTCAGAGGCCCCAAGAGGCCCCCCCCCCGAGGCACCCAAGACCCCGAAGAGCCCCACAGGATCGCCAAGAGACCCCCAAGACGTCCCAAGAGGCCCGCAGCCCCCAAGAATCGCCCAAGAGATACTCCAAGAGGCTCCTAGAGGCATCCAAGAGACCTCTGGCCCTTGTGCTTGCCCTCCTCCTCCTCCTCCTGTTCCTCCTTCCTGCTCCTACTCCTTCTCTTCCTCCTCCTCCTCCTCCTCCTCCTCCTCCTCCTCCGCCTCCTCCTCATCCTATTCATCCTCCGTCTTCCCACTCCCTCATCCATCCATCCATCCACCTCCTCCTTCTCCTCCTCATTCCTTTGCACGGTTCGGCCGTCCTCCTCTTTGCTGCCGCACTTCCCTGATCACCTCAACTCGCCTGGACATCGTTTCGGGATGGGCTGGTGGGGATAAGCGAAGCGTCTAGAATTGTTAGCCTGAAGCTTAGAACTTGGCAACAGCTTCACAAGTGGAGGGCGGGTCGTTTTCAAAATTTGGCTCTCGCCTTACCGCCGCGCAGATTCGTTTCAGAAATTTCCAAGAGCTTCACTGAAGCAGGACGGGTCGTTTTCAAAATGTGGCTCTCGCCTTGGCGCCGCGCACACGCGTTCAAAACATGTGCAAGAGCTCTACGGATTGAGGGCTGGTGGTTTTCAAAATGAGGCTGTCGCCTGAGTGCAACGTACATTCGTTCCAGAAATGTGCAAGAGCTTCACGGGTTGAGGGCGGGTGGTTTTCAAAATGTGGTAATCGCTTTAGCGCCGCGCACATTCGCGATGGAGGGCGGGTCGTTTTCGAAATGTGATTCTCGCCTTACCACCGCGCAAATCCGGTTTAAGAGTTGCAAGGGTTTCACGGATTAGGAGGCGGCTCCTTTTCAAAATATGGTTCTCGCCTTAGCGCCGCGGACAGTCGCCTTGGAAATTTACAAGACTCTCACCGATTCCCATGCTCAACGCACCAGAAATGGTATTTCGGAGGGGTTCCGAATTATGAGGATGCAACAGTTACGGTGGTTCGCGGCGTTGCAGTCCCAAGAATCACAGGTCGGCACGATTCAGGATCGTCAAGACGCAACAGCGAGGTTGATCCGTAGCGTTCGAATGCCGAGAACAATGCTTTGGCATACTTCAGATCTTGAATCTATTGTCTTCCAATGAAGAAGTTCCCTGTGTGGAAATGAACCGATGAGGGCCATTTGAAAAGGAAGTTTGGAGGGAGGGTTTATTCCAACATCGTTGATGACTCTTGAGATTACACTAGTCTTTCCTCCTCCTCCTCTTCCCCCTCCTCCTCCTCCTCCTCCATTCCGTTTCCTTATGAGTAACTCCTCCGTGTCACACCCCGAGGCTGGTCGAAAAGGCAAGCCGAGCATATCGCCTGACTTCCTCACCACTTATGATCCTGAAGTTTCAAAATTGGCAACAGTTTCACCGATGGTGGGCGCGTCGCGTCCAAAGTGTGGTTCTCGCCTGAACGCCGCGCATATATCTTTTGAAAGAAGGAGCTTCACGGATTGAGGGTGGGCCGATTTCAACATGTGGCGCTCGCTTTCGCGCCGCGCATACTCGTCTTGAAAATGTAGAGTTTCGAGATTGAGGGCTGCTCCTTTTCCAAATGTGGTTCGCACTAAAACTGCAGAATTCTCATGGGTTCGCACGGTCAACAGAAATGGTAGTTTAAAACAATTCCGGTTTGCCAAGGCGCAACAGTTACGTTGATTCGTGGTGTTGAACTCCCAGGACCGGCGTTTTGGCAAGATTCAGGACCGTCACGACGCAGCAGTCAAATTGCTTCGCGGCGCTGGAGTCCCGAGAATGGTTTTGGCACGCCTTAGGATCTTCAAACGGTTGTCTCCCAACGGGGCACTTCTCTCAGAGGGAATAAACCCTTGTAAGGGCCTATGAAGAGGGAGCTTGGAAGGAGGGTCTATTCCAACAGCGCTGATGAGTCTTAGGTTTACACTGGTCTTCCTCCTTTTCCTCATCCTCCTCCTCCCCTACCGAGTGGACGAAAACGATGTCGGGATCACAACCATCCGAAAGAAAGACGGATCGCTGAACTGCGGCGGGGTGTGAACTTGACATCCTTCCTACCGCGCGATCGAAGACGAGGTTGAGTTCACGACCCGTCATAGTTCAAAAACAAACAGCTCGTCGGCATGGGGTTTGCTGCAGGCAGCTGGATACCTCCACCTCCAATAATGAGCAAATAATTATTTTCTGGGGGCGAATTGAGGGTTAACAACACCCAACAGTACCCGGCAAATAATGATTCCGCCGCCGCCACCGTCGTGCGGGGTAGGGTAGCTCAGGGGGCGATATCCGACAGGAGGAAAAACTTCCCAACGCAAACCAGCATGGCGAACAATACT